AAAAAAAAAAAAAGGATGTTTAATCACTCCCTTAACTATAATTTCCCGTTTTTTTAATTTTTTTTTTTTTAAAAACAAACCTATCCACTTACCAATTCATCTTGATTTCTGATACCTTTAAATAAAATCTTATCTTACAAACATTCTTGACACAGGGTCAGGACTCCCAAATTTCTTAGAAGGGAAATCTAAGGACTTATAATAGATATGACAAATACTTGTGACTTCTGGCCTACAATTTCAGTGTTCCTACACTATAATTTAAGTCATGTGGTTCCTTACATATAGTTCTGGAAATAAGTTCATTGTCTTAACTTGTTACACTCAGTTGTGAGGTACAGCAACTAGGTGAGTGCTAACTCTGAAAAGACACTTGAATTTGAAACCTGGGTCTGCCACTCACTAGCTGTGACATCTTAGACATGTCATTTAATTCTTCTAGCTATCGGTTTTACTTGCAAAATAAAACACTAGTAAAAAAATATCATAAGTGTTAAAATGAGCCTTAACTGAGATAATTTACAAAATATTTAGCACAGGAAAGGTGCAACAATGGCTAGTAATTACAATCAGATTAGCCCACACAGCATACTACAATAAGCTATAGCTGCTGCATGGCTATACTTTAGACAACCACTGCTTCCTCTGAAAACTATGGACACAGTATTTCATTCCACATAATTATGAGTTTTAACAAAATTTATCTAGTCCAAATAAAATGTGTTATCTTCACTGATCATGTGTCCAAACGACCTTTACATCTGCAGACAGCATATGCAGCCAGTTTTGTTGTATAGTATAAAAGCAAATATTCACAAACCTCTATCAAATATATTCAGCTTTAAGGATGATTTGAGTGGGGAACAAGGAAGGTACAAGGTTAGTCTCCTGTCTTCCTCTATTACTTTCCTGGAGATCATCTACTGGCTCGACTGGCTGTCTAGCAAGTCTTAGGATCCTGCTACTTCTCCACACACCTCAAATCCTGGGCTCCAACTTCTCCACACACTGGTACTAGGGAGTTGAACCCAGGTCTTCACACTTGCTGTGGCAGGTACTTTATCCACAGAGCTACTCCTATTCCCCAGAACGTTTTTCAAGTAAGAACTGCAGTTTTTCTTTCATGAATATATGACACCTGGAATAGCAGGCTTCAAATCTACTCTGCAAATTTCTGAAGATTAGCCAAAGACATCTGAATGCAGCTGTAAAACTGTAGTACTATGTGACTTCAGCCTATCCTACTGCTAACCCTCTGGCACTTGAGCCAAGGTTTTGATTTCGATTTCTGATAATACTAGAGCCTCTACCTAGGCCCTTGAGTGAAGTTTTCTGAAGGTTTTTTTTTTTTTTTTGTCTGTTTTTCAAGACAGGGTTTCTATGTCGCTTTGAAGTATGTCCTGGAACTTGCTCTGTAGACCAGGCTGGCCTAGAACTCAGAGATTGGCCTGCCTCCGCCTCCTGAGTACTGGGATGAAAGACCCAGCTTTAAGTGTAGTTTCTAAAGGTATTGTTTTTTGTTTGTTTATTTTTCAAGACAGGGTTTCTTTGTGGCTTTAGAGCCTGTCCTGGAACTAGCTCTTGTCGACCAGGCTGGCCTCAAACTCACAGACATCAGCCTGCCTGTTTTCTCAGTGCTGGGATTAAAAGCGTGCACCACCACCGCCTGACTAAAGGCATAGTTTTTACAGCATTATTTTAGAACTATGCATATATTTTATACATTCAAAACTAAAATCCTGGGGCTAGAAAGATGGTTTAGCAATTAAGACTACTTGCTTCCATGCAGAGGACCCAGGCTCAGTTCCCAATACCCATACGGCAGCTCACAACCAACTGTAACTCTAGTTCCAGGGGTTCCAACACCCTCTTCCAGCCTTTGAGGGCAACAGGCACATATATGGTACACAGACAAATAAGTACACAAAACACCCCCACACAAAAATGTTTAAATCTTAGAAAACAAATCATAAAATAAATCTTCATTTTAATAAGAATCAGTAGTACTAGTATTGCAATTTTTAAATTGTAAATAGAGCAGAAAGCAAACATACTTTTGTTAGCAATATCTTCACTTTTAGGCCAGGCGATGGCGGCACATGCCAGCACTCGGGAGGCAGAGGAAGGTGGATGGATTTCTGTGAGTTTGTGAGTTTGAGGCCAGCCTGGTCTTCAAAAGCTAGTTCCAGGACAGGCTCCAAAAGCTACAGAGAAACCCTGTCTCAACCCCTCCCCCCAAAATTCATTTTTGATAAAGTAGAATCAAAGATGACAAAGTCTGTCTTGCTAATTTGAATTGGCTATATCACTATGAACTCAGGATTAAACAAATGCAAAATGGCTGGGTGTGGCAGCACACACCTTTAATCCCAGCACCTGAAAGGCAGAGGTAGAAGGATGTCTTTGAGTTCCAGAGTGAGACCCTAAGTAAATTCTTAGTTCTATCCTTTCAAACAAGTCTAGAAACAGTAATTCTCTGGCAGCAACGATTATGCCAAACTTTCGGATCTTTTTATATATATCATTTCTCATTGAAAAGACCAAGACTCCTTGGATAAACAGCCCTTTCCAGATGGCACAGAAAAAGCAGCCTTGGGTACCTTTTACAAGAAAGTGCTTCAAGATAAAGAAGACACTGTAGCCAGTTTGAAAGGGTTCTTATATCCAAACTGGTGACAATGTGGCCCTCAAAAAGGATCCTAATTGGTTATAAAATTAATAAATTCCCTGGTGGTACTACTCCCTCAACTCTCAAGTCCGTAATGGTTTAATAACCCCCTCAAAACGAAGAAATATATATATATATGTGTATGTTCATTAGGATAACAATTTCCCTAGATCTTTAAAATTAACCAACAATTAAGGTGATAAAATCAAGCATTTAATCTGCATTTTTAGGAATTTAGTTCATACTTAATAAAGAAAATTCAGAGATTATTCAATAAAATAATTAAGAGCTAAAAATCACTAAGGAAAGTAGTCAGAAATAAGTTACTTGCTTCCTGTCCATTATTATCTTAAGACCACATATAATCAAAATGTCAAACCACACCTTTACAAAAGACCTTGCAGTCACCCCTTTAATCAAGTGATTCTATTTAACATCGTCAAATGTGTGGTGTTCAAACACTACCAACTCCTAACACATACAATTGGAGCATAGGGCATCACCTATTTAAGCATTCTTGACTTTAAACCAATGAAATCTCTGTTCCAGAGATGTTCAATCTCTTGACAAGATACTATCTTTATCTACAGTTCTCAAAGGACCGCACAACCATGTTATCCACACAAAAACCTAATATTTTCAGTTTACAACTTTGTGTTGGGTTGTATTCATAGATATCCTTGGCCTTATGCAAACACAGTTGGGCAGGTCTGGAATCAAACTTTCACTTAAAAAGAAGAGCAGTAAATAAAATGACACTCAGAGGACAAGGTCACGGCTCAAATGTTTTACAAAAAACAACTGGTTTGGTCAGTTAAGTGCACCCTCCCCATGGATAGTCTGGGTATTACCCTCTTTAACAATAGGCATGACTAAATACACATAATCACCAAATGCAGTACAGGAATCTCGATTGGCTACAGCTGTGGAGATACTTTGGGACTATTGAGGACATTTCAATACAAAAAATTTGATGGGCACTGTTATCGACTTGGTATTTTTAGGAAATATTTAAGAAACAGGAGGAGGCACACTGTCTCAACAAGAACAAAACATGCAATATAGGAAGAAACATTGAATACTGAATCTGGTACTAATACGGCCACTGTGTTTTCCAGACAACTGTGTAAAACTGAAAACTTTCAGGCCATAAATGAAATAATATCACTGCTAGAGGACGAGCAGAAAGACACCTGGGTTCAATTGTCAACTTACTACTTGCATAACCTAGGGCAAGTTACAAGTAATGTTACTAAGTTTCTGTCTCTTCTATAAAATTCAAAAGTTACCTACATCATCGGGTTCTGAGACTAAGACTACACATATAAAAAGCAAAACACTGTTGCACAAAGTAAATCTGGTTCTCCTTATTAAATCAAATCAGAAAATAAAAATTAAGAAAACATTCATTTTTACATTGCACGTGGAAAACTCCAAAAGATACAAATATTATAAATCAGCTGGAAATCAATGTGAATGAGAAAAAAAATCAAGATCTATATTTTTTTTAAACCAAAAATTATCAAAAGGGCAAAAGCAAATATCAAATCTTTATCCAGCCTCTGGTATCTATTATCTAGTTTGTTTTGGATATTAACTTATCTACGCATAAAATGATAATAAGCGGAAGTTAAGAATTTTTTCTATAAACATTCAACAGATTAGTATGCTTATATATTAAAAAAGTAAGTTTTGGTCTTAAATTCTGTAAGTTACTAGAAAGTACACGAACATCACAGTTTACAATAGATTCTGGTTCAAAAAAAATCCAACAAGCAATTTCCTTTAATCGGTTATAACTTAAGTCGTCATTTCACTTGCAGGTAACCTCTTTTTGTTAGGCCGACAGTAAAATGACCAGATACAGAGAGATCCTCAGGTAGGTGTGTGTGTGTGCGCGGTGTGTGTTTGCATCCTCTTCCTCTTTTCTTTTTAAAAGAAAAGTGCCGTTCAAAAACGGGGGGTGGGGGGGGCTGGAGGAAGCAGCCGGGAGGGGAGGAATAAACAGGTCTAGGGCTCGCGGGGAGACCAGGTGAGCGCGTACAAACACCCCGCCAGCAGCGCATTTGCTGTGGGGCGGATTGTCTTGCAAATCCGCTCCCTCAGAAGATCCGGGTGACTACTTCAGGTCCGCAGGGATCCAGGCCAGCCCCCCCTCCCCGATTAAATGACAATGAGGGGACCCTGTGGGGTGTTTCCCGGTACGAACCGGAGTGACAAACCGGGCTTCCTCCCCCCGACCCCCGCGTCCAGGTGGGCGACGCGTGGTGTCGGTCCCCGGGCGGGCCCGCCGTCTCCCTCCTCCTCCCGCCGGCCCTCCCCTCCCCGTTACCTGCGGGCAGCGGTGCGGGGGTCCGGAGGCCTGCTCCTGCTCCTCCTCCTCCTCCTCCCCGCCTGGCTGGGGCGGCGAGGTGGCGGCGGCGGCGGCGCCGGCAACCCCGGGGGGAGGGGGCGGAGCGCGCGGCTGGCTCCTCTCCTCCCCCGGGAGGCTCAGGGGACCCTATCTCGGGCCGCCGCGCCTAGGCCAGTGTGCAGCCTGGAACTGGGCGCGCATGGCGGCGCCGCTCGCCCGCGTGCCCGCGAGGTGTGAGAGTACGAGGCGCGGGGAGGAGAGCGCCCGGCGCCCGCGGGGCCTGAGAGGAGGAGCGAGGGGCCCAGCCCGCGGCGCGCGGGCGGCCGTTGGGGGCGGTTGCCGAGGGCGGGCGACGGCTTGCGCTGGCCCGGCGGGGCGGGGTGGGGAAGGGGAAAGGGACTGAGGGGAGGGGAGGGGAGGCTGGGAGGGAGCCGCCGCAGCGCGCGTGCGGGCCGGCGCCGCCGTAGCCGCTCGTTTCACTCCAGCCTGTTTGGGGGCACTTTGTTTGTGTCCCACAATGCTCCGCGCGGACGGCCGGGCTGGGGAAGGGGAGGGGCGGGTCCGGGCTGAAGGCGGTGCGCGGCTATTGCGCAAGCGCAGAGCGAGCTGTCCTTAGCCTGTCGAGCCAGCCAGACACAGAAGCACCGCGGGGCCTTGACCCGGTCTGTGCACTTGTCTGTGTGCTTCTACGTGTGCACAAGCGCCATGAGGCTTGTCCAGTTTGTCCTTCTGTAGACGTGCCCCGAGCTGCACCAAGGGAAACGTTAGGACGGTTTGGTTTTCCTTGAAACTAAAAACGTAAAGAAACTGTTTTTCTCTAGTGGTTGCAGCTGCAAAGCACCCCAGCCCTTCTCTGTCGGGAAAGAAGTTTGGGTCATGTGGCCTTTTTTCGCACGTGGAAACTGAGGCCTATCCAGGCGTGGCCACGAAGGCCGCTGAGAACCTAGCGAGCCCTGCTTTCTCCATGATGGACAGGGATCCCTTACAAGTGGTCCCACAGAGCGTAATGGTGCGCCTGGCATCCTCGCAGTGCTGTGAGGTGGCCCTAGCATTTTTCTGATTACCGTGGCAGGAAGTGCAGTTCTGAGATGACTAGAAAAAGAGAAATCGGCTCCCATGTCTCTCTCGTTTCCCCAACACAGAGTGGCTTCTACAACCTAAAGCGACTGTGAACTATTCCTTCCCCAACCGTGAATGGCAGGCATCCTAGTACACCAACTCTTCTCTGCTCTTGGGGGAGGGAATGTGGGGGTCACTTGACTGATACAGTCTAAAGGGCTTTCAAGTTTTGGTTGCCTACAAAATCAGCGCTTAGGTATTAAAACTCCCTCAGAGAACCAGACTTGGTGATTAAGCCGGGGGGGGGGGGGGGAGGGGGGGGAGGGGGTACCCCGGGAGTACCCCCGGAGACAGGTGGCATTGTGCCCAAGGAAGCGTGGAGGAGGGCAGGATGCCAGTCAAGGCTCTGCACCTTGGGCGCTGTGCATTTGTATATGGATACTAGTATACTACGTACCCACACCTCCAGCTTTTAAACCGAAAGACTTGGCCTCCTCCGACTTTAATCCACCCTCCACATGGCAAACCCCCGAGCATCAGAGCTCCCTACCCAAAGAAAGGTTCTTTCAAATAAAGGTAACGAAACCAAGGTCTGCGGCAGCCTTTCACAGTTTCCAACAAATTTTCAAGTATATAGAAGGCATTTAATCCTCGACAACCTAATCTATAGATTTCTTAGTATTTCTCTATCATGTTTTTAAAATACTTTGGCCCTGTCTTTGCACTGAGAATTGAAGAATCTCACTGTCTAGGGCGGTGCCTGGGTTTAAAGCCCTTGGTGGAGTATGTGCTGAAAACATGTGTCATGGAAACAACTGGTGAAGAATCTAGAGGGAATAAAGTAGACAAAGTCTTAGGATAGTTAATAGACAGTCAATAAAAGAGCATTCAATTGGACTTTTCTAATTGTGACTCAAGGGACTGAGGAGATAGCTAATGTTGACAGGCTGGGCAGAAAACACACACACACACATATGCACACATTCACGCACACAGCTTTAATTCTCTTGTCTCATTTCCTTTTCTCTCTTTAGCTTTGTCTGTTTCTCATTTTGCTTCTAAAACGTTATCATCCTCCCATCGCATTCCCACCCTATGTCTGAAGAATTTATTGACAAATGGCTTTTGGTCTCTGAAAGGCAGAGTTCTAGATGCTTGCAGAAGGTGTTGTGAGAAAAAAATGCTAAGATCGACTGTTGCTGGAAGCCTCTTCTGTATTTTGGTTCCAGGCAGGATCAACTTCTGTGGCTTCTTGAGCCTCCCACCTCTTTTCTTTCCGAGCTAGCAGAGACTTGCCCTTGGGTTGCTAGAATAGGTAGACCTTTCTTTGACACCAGGTTGAATAATTCTGTTGGGAGGATTTTGTGAAATCGGAATCCTGTACACAGGTGAAACAAACAAACTAGACAGTGTGAGGGACTTTTAATTATTAACCCAGCGTGGATGATTCTGAGGAATTCAAATTCCAGGCAAATTCTGGGGAGGGGGGTATTATATTATCCATGAGTTGCTTGGGAGACTCATTTCTTGCAAAAACAGTACTTTCTTGTGGTAGATCATTACTGTTGAATGGGAACTCAGTTATTTAAACCAAAACATATTTCAGAGATAGAATGCTTTATACTCACGAGAAAGATTTCTAGTCTGACTGGAATTATTTCAACAAGAGCCTATTACTTACTTAAAACACAATGCAGGTTTCTTCCTTTTAGATTCTTCTAACTATATAAACAAAAACTCTTTTCCTTACCCTGAAACGCGCCCCTCTCCAATGTTCCCATTTCACCATCTGCTCAGTTGGGTAGGTCAACCTTGTCATTTTCCTACCCTGCAAGTCAATCCAAATGAACAACTCCTGTTAAATATGCTCATTCCCACTGCCACCATCCTGAAACAGAACAGATGGCACCTAGAAAATGGTAATATGGCTTACCTGGCTCCCAAATAGACTCCCTCTTCTCTTCACTAACCAAATGGTAGCCAGAATTGTAATGCTTGGAAACCATGTCAGCCAACAGCCGACAGTTTCTCTTGTTCTCAGGTAAAGTCCCAAGCTCTTACTGTGGTTTTCATAAACTGTGGGTCCTTCCTTGTCGTCTTTAAAGAAACATGGCAGTCACAGAGTGACTTTTCTTTTTAATCTCTAAAATACCATGCTTTTTCTTGATTACGTTATTTCCTTTAAATTGTAATATTTTATTCTTTGGATATTTTCCTCCATCTTCAGAGCTCTTCTTTTATATATCTGATAGTTCTATGTGATACACTTTGAATAATGTAAAATATATTTGTTACATAAACTACTGTACATAATATTGGTAAATGCTCATGTGCTGTTTGATCTCACTGAGAAGTTGTCTCTGGAAATGGGGTTGCCTTCCTGCTCCCCATTTAAGAGGGAAGCCTGTTTTTCTCATAGTCTCTTCCAAGGCCTCTTTGTTTGTGAATGAGCTGCCATCCTAGCACACACACACTTCTGGAACGGCAAGAGGATGAAAATAGTCCAACAAGCCCAGAGTAGAAACAGCAAGTATTTGAAAACAGCCCTGAGGCAAACCATTTCTAGCAGAGGTTACTGTTGTTTATCCCATGCTACTAAGATGCCTGCAGTAGGCACAGGGAACTGGAGGTTCAGCTGACTGCTTCAATTTGATCAGTTGGTTTCTGCCAGATGGTTTTAAAAATTCAATTTGATGATGTTACCTTTCTGCTGCTATTTATTCTTTTCCTTAGAAGCGTCTCCTGAGGAGACTTCACTGTCTCAGTCAGGAACTCTAGCTGGCTGCCTCAGTGGGGCTTCCCCCGTCAATTCCTGCTGGATATTTTAAGTACCCAATTGGATGATGTTTTGCTTTCTTTCTGCTCCTTGTTATCCTGTTTATTCCTTCGTTTTTTTTTTTCTTTTGGTTTTGTAAGACAGATTTTCTCTGTGTAGCCCTGGATATCCTGGAACTGGCTCTGTAGACCAGGCTGGCCTCGAACTCAGAGATCTGCCTGCCTCTGCCTCCCAAGTATTAGGATTAAAGGCTTGTGCCACCACTGCCCAGCTATTTATTCTTTCTTTCTTTTTTTTTTAAGATTTATTTAGAAGATTTATTTAGTTATTATGTATACAACATTCCATGTATGCTCGCATGCCAGAGGAGGGCGCCAGATCTCCTTATAGATGGTTGTGAGCCACCATGTGGTTGCTGGGAATTGAACTCAGGACCTTTGGAAGAGCAGCCAGTGTGCTCTTAACCACGGAGCCATCTCTCCAGCCACTATTTATTCTTTCTTTTGCATGCTATGTTCTTCTAAACTTGCTCATTCAAATCTGGAAGTCCGGCTGTTGTTTATCATCTTCAGACCCATACAGACCAACAATAATACATACCATATGTAGTATATGTATCTGTAATGTATGTAATATATGTACAATTTTTATTAAAATGAAACTCACATGCTACACAATTCACTCATTGAAGGTGTGCTGTTCAGAGATTCTTAATATTTCAGAGTTAGTTGTACAATTATCACCACAGTCAGCTTTTAAACTTTCTCATTACCCAAAAGGAAACCCAGACCTACGTAGCTATTACTCTCCTTATCTCAGCTCTCCAGTCCTGAGCAACCACTAACGTAGCTTCTCTCTGCCCATACACATTTGCATATAATATAATATTTTTCCCAGTTTGTTGAGTTATTTTGTGCTTTTTTTTTTGTTTGTTTGGAGACAGGGTTTCTCTGTGTAATAGCCCTGGTTGTCCTGGAACTCTCTTTGTAGACCAGGCTTGGTCCAACTCAGAGATTCATCTGCCTCTGCCTCCTGAGTGCTGGGATCAAAGGCATGCACCACCACTCCTGGCTTAGTTGGTACATGTTTTAAGGCCTCTATATTATTTTCTCTTTTGGGATAAGGGATTATATTATGTTATTTACCACAGTGTAGATTTTTGACACTTGATATGTATAACATGTTCCTTTCCCTTCTGCATTTTTGTGTGAATCAGTAATGGGATCTAGATGTTTTATCAGATTCAATTTTTTAAAAATATTTATTTATTTATTTATTATGTATACAATATTCTGTCTGTGTGTATGCCTGCAGGCCAGAAGAGGACACCAGACCTCATTACAGATGGTTGTGAGCCACCATGTGGTTGCTGGGAATTGAACTCAGGACCTTTGGAAGAGCAGGCAATGCTCTTAACCTCTGAGCCATCTCTCCAGCCCCCTCAGATTCAATTTTTATTTAGGACAGATTACTTTGTAGGTGGCTGTGTGTTTTTCCACTAGGCAATACAAAAATGTGCGCTAGCCTTTTTCTTTTTGTAATGCTAACAGCCTCTGATGAGTAATGTTTATATCA